ACGTTAAGGGTGAGGCTTTGCCTTTTTGCATGCTATTGAATGCATCTGCCAAAGTCTCTCAGTAATACAGAGAAGGGCACAGCAAACATGGTTCTAAGGTGACAGGCATTTCACAAAGTTTTTGTCACGATCTTAAGATGCAACAGAAAAGTTGGAGAGTACTGCAGTGTGTTAGATGAAAACATGCAAGGAATTCTATTTGGTGTTTTAAAACTGATATTAGAAATACTAAACCTTTAAAAATTGGATGATACACTTGAATATAGACATTTACATACAACTTTTTGTATGTAAATACCAGAACCTTGCTACTTTTGCTTCAAGATTTACATTTATTCTCTTTGCCCACTTTATCCCCTGCTTTAAGCTCCCTCCTTTTTGTAAAAAGGCTTATCAGTTAGACACTGCTCCAGCAAACATTTCTGCCTGCAGATCACTGTCCTCATAGGCTGATTTCCATTTGGTGACATTATTCACACTTACATAGTGCACAGCTTCCTGGATGGCTTGGGACCCTTCACCTGAATTTTCATGTTGCAAATGTGCTTATTTTAAAATAAACTCTTTATTATTAAAAAACATACGTTATTTTGATTACCTCTGCAAAAGTATATGGAAAATAAATAAAAATTTAGCCAATCTGAAAGGTAAAGTAACTGATTTATCATTTGAAACTTTTGAAAACTTTAAAAATGCCCATTTAGCTGACCACTTGTACTCTTACATAAGAAATAAGAAATAATAATGCTTGCCAGGAGATTAACTAAAATGTACTAATGAGGTAAAACAGCGAAAATGCATCCAGTAAGAAACCCAGCATTTTGGGGAATATTTCAAAGTCTTTGCTGTTACTAGAATAAACAGTACTGGGATTACATCAGAAGGACCTTGGACAGACTAGGTGCAGTCTAACGAGGGGAATCAGAAAGTGGAACAGAATAGGTCAGGTGGTCATTATCGTGCTGAAAATGACCTGAAAGGCGAAGAGTGACAAATGGTAAAGATGTTAGAGTTGCTTAGCGTATCTTCTTGTATCAAAACTGATGCCTGCCCTGTCCTTTACTGTCAGCGTTTCCAAACAGGCAGCTGCCCAGAGCAGCAGACAGTGGCAAAGGTGTGTTGTCTTCAGTGATAGAAAGAGATCCTGCTGCTGTCAGAGTTTCAATTAAGCATCACTACCTGAGCTGCACTGGCTCAGTAGGGATTGATGATCGCCTGGGTGTATCTGCACCGATACATGCAGGGACAGATGGTGCCAGGCATAGCCACTCTCCTGCCACTGCTGAACTGAATTTCACTCACCTTTACTGGCTTTTTTTTTTTTTTTCTTCTGAGTTTTGAACTCATCATGTTTTTAGTAAACATAATGGTTAATAACGTTTTTGAATGAAGGCATAATATGGTTATTTTTCATGTAGATTTTACTTTACATTACAGAGAAGGCCTTTAGAAGACAGGAAAATATAGCATAGCAAAACAAATGTAAAGATTAACAACAGATCTTCACAACCCTGGTAACTGAAAAATAAGATGACTGCTTATGTTGGTGGTATAATGTTTTGGATTTAAAAAACAAATTGGTAATATTCAGTGTGTGAGGAGAAGCCCAGACATCACTTCTCCTTCCAGTATAGTCAACAGATGTACTGCTTTTTGCCTTCTTTATAGTAGTCAGTCTTGTAAAATAGCAGAGAGAGAAAATATAGAGAGGAGGCCAGCAATAATGCCAATGCTTACATAGATGTACCTTTTCCTCCAGGCTTTCATTTACTCCTGATGACGTATGGCACTGTCAGAAAATACAGTTCTTCAAAATACATCAAATGTAAATAGCACATGCAGTTATGTATGTTTTTTAATGTTGATTTGAGAGTGGAAGTTGTAAAAATATCCCTCATGAAGTATTCCAGTGTTAGGGCATGTGATTGCCCCTCAGAGAGGAGGAAAGGGTGGGATGGATTCAACAGCAGATAGCCAATAGAGCAGCAAGTGTGGATGCACCTTGGCATGAAACTGAATAGTAATGAAGCAATACCCTAAAAAAAAAAAAAAAAAAAAAAGGAAGAAAGCTAGGTGACTAATAACCTGAATTGAGATGTCACATGGTCAAAAATTGGAATATTAAGGATAAAATTAAGTAGTAACAAGTAAACACTATAGCACTTCAGCAGGTATTTACTTGATTTATTATAGGGTTTCCAAGGGAGATTCTACGGTCTACTAGCAGCCGTTTAAAAAAATGTCTAAATATATTCTAACAAACACAAATAATGAGTCAGATGGAATTGCTATGGTCAATTAAGTGGGTAATGGATATTTAAAAGCTTCCAAACATCAATAAATCTGAAACAGCTCTAAAGGAGTACTTGTAGAACAAAAATAATATGCACTTAAGAAACTGCTTGAGTACATATTTGCCTAAAGTTAACCACCAGTAAGAGGACAGCAAGTGTTTATGGTACTGTATACTGAGGGCATAAAAAGGTGTACCAAATGTGTGCCAGTTCATTTGTTGATAATTTGTAATAAATCCAAAGGGGACAGTGCAGTTTATTATGCTACTTAAATATTATCAAGAGGACCTGATTCTCATTTATGTGAAAATCTTTAAGCACCTGATAGAATAAAAGAATCCTGAGACTGTGAAGTAGGGTAGCAGACAGCAGCTCATCAGTGTACCCCTTGGTACAAAGTTGAATGCTGTCCTTTGTCAGCTGCCACAAGATCGTAATATGTGGTACACTTTCACATGCAGTAGGACAAAAGTTTTGGTTTTCTATGAATGATCCAAGACAAAAAAGATTTAGCTAAGACCCTCAAAACACCTGTAGATTGGGTAAAAGTTGTACTGTGCATGAACAGAATGGTCTGAAGAAATTTTGAAACAGCATCCTGGAAATTCTCTATGCAGTGACAACAAGAACAGCAAAAAAAATATTAACTGATATTAGTTAGCTAGAACTTAAAAATCCATAAATCAGTGACAAATCTGGTATAAGCAGTTACCGCTACTGCCTTTTCTCCTCTGGCTCAGCAGTGGGTGCTGTTAGGCCAAGATAACATTGTTGTAAACACAATCTGAGAGATATTTAAGCTAAAATCCCCAAAACCTTCCATAGAAAATGTATTTTATTTTTTATGCATCTTATTTATAAAATCCATTTTTAAAATGTCATACACTTATGTTCACCTACTTACAGCAGTGGTAGCATGGGAGTATAAAAGTAAGTGGAAGGGATGATGCTTGGGCAAGAGTGGGTAGTAATGGGCTGAATTGTGTCACCGTTGTCACAGTACCTCATCTAACCACATTTGAAGTTAGAATCTGGGTCGATAACTATACCATAGTGCCCATTAATATTTCATTTGCTTTACTATCAAGTCTTAACACAATGCTTCAATAAACTAATTTCCACGTTTACTTCACAGTTGGCCAATGTTGAGTTTAATTCATCACGTGTATGTCTTTGTGATATGGCACAACTTCTGCAACTTCCCTCCCATTTTGTCTTAAAATGTGCTTTGTTATCTTTCTCAGAGATTCGTTTGCTTGTGCATTTTTATTTGGAATTCAGAATGTGATAATAATAAAAATGTGATTAATGTGATTATGGATCGATGTGGATGTACAGAGGCTTCTATCTAGTGTATAAAAGACTGTTTCTTTAAAACTCAAGATTCTCATTTACAGTAAAAGCTTTTTATGACACCAGAAGAGCAATGCAACTTTACATTGGAATTAAATTGTACTCAGAGTACTCAGTTTAAGGCTGTCGGAAGGAAGCAAAAAAACTTTATTGAACATTATAATTTAATGAAATTTTATGTTACATAGTTTGTAGGCTGAGTAATTAGGTTTCTTTCTAGTCTTGGCCCATGTAAATATCTGGGAGTTTTATAGGATAATTTCTGGTCTTGTCAGAGTACTGAGTCTGGTTAGCAGGTCTCAGAAGTATTACTGTATTGGTGAGGCACACAGAAGTTTGGAAGATAGTTCCTCAGGCTCAAATTCAGCTTTTTTTAATGTGAAGAAATTGTCTAAGAATAGCTTGCTTTGGTGAATAATTTACATGAAAGTCCTTCTGAAGTCAGTATTTACATGCAATGACTACTCAGTAAGTACCAAATGTTAGGGAATAAAATCGTGTTTCAGTCTCAATATTATATTTAGAATTACTTGTCTCTATTTTCATTTGGACTGCTGTGCAGCCTGTCTGTCTGTAGCCTCTGTCTTTACAACTGAAGGCAAATTGGTGTAGTGCTGTTTGCTAACCTTGACATAGGAAATTTACAGGTTATTCACTTTTACCAAAGTAATAACATGCTATTTTTCGTGTGAGTAACCCACATGACTCATCTTTCCATAGCATTCCTATTAATTAAAAGCAGTGGGGTGTTCTGTATGAGTAGATTTTTAGTGCTGATATTATACCATTGGCACTACAGCCAAAGAAGTCCTCCAAGAGTGTCTTCTGGAGGAGATGGGGGGAGCTACAGGTGCTGCATTGGAAATAATGATGGAGCTGAAGCTTCCTGCACAGATTCCCTAGGAGTGTTTTTACAGCTTTCTCTCAGAGGTCAGGTGGGGGGAGTAGTTTGATTTTGGTACTCAATTGTAGTTTGAAAAGTGTATCTTATAAAATAGAGCTGCTCTGTATTAAGTATACAACCCTTTTTATTTATGGATGGAAGCAAAGTTTAGAATTGGAACCATCAGTGCAAATCACAAGCTTCTGTGACCTTTGTCTGGAAGCAGCATTAGGGCTTATTTTATGTATAGATCAACTCAGAAGGGCAAGTGTATGCTATCTTTTCAGACACAATCGTAATACTTCACACACATATAATAAAGATTCTTCTTAGTTTTGCCAGAATCCCTCTACTGCATTAATCTTGTATCAAACATACTAGATAATTAACTACACAGAATTTTGAAAGACAAATATATCTGTATAACGGAACCCTTTTAGATGATTAAAAATAAAATAGATTTAACTCACTGTTTTTACAAGAATTTCTGTAGAAATCTGTTAAACTTCTGTTGTCTGCTGCTGGTTTGATCCTTGATAAATACAGCAGGATTAAGAAAGGTTTTAAATTAAGAGCCTACATACCCTTCCCAAGTTCAGACCACGTGGTTGTGTCAAAAGATGTTTAGGCATGTGAACTATGCTACTGAAATCAGAATAGAAGCAGAAATTATTAAAATCTTTCTCCTAGTGATTCCATATAAGTAAACATTTTGTTGGAAGCAACATTCTTGCTGAGTTACATCATTTCATTTATGCTATATAACTTATTTAGTCCATTCTGCATAATACTACATGCACTACACTGTGGAAAGGCTTTCCATAAAAAGACCCAAGAGGCTGAACTGAGACCAAAGTGAGGCTGGAAAAAAGCAGCGTCTGTACAAAAGTTCACTGCGAGGGTTTTTTTTTCTGACTAGGAAAGCATTCTTCTCCATGGAAACATGATATGGAGCTTTAACAGGAGTCTGCTTACTGCTAGGACCTGTGTTTGTTCCACCCTAAGGGCACCCTTGGGAGCACAGGGAAGAGAATTCTGATAAATTTGTTTCTTTTATAAAATGAAACACTGTATGTAAAATCCTTCAGCAACCCTTTTCCTTTATGCTTTTGGTCCACCATAAAATTGTGAAGGGCCGTGGCTAGTACAGAAACGGAGCTGTAATGTCAGCTCATGCTGGCACATTAATGGCTTGCATAGGATCGCCTGTGTTATTTGGCCATTTTATTGTATGCCCAGTGTTGTGGATGCCAGACTGATTTTTTTATTTTTTTATTTTTTGGAAACATCTTTGTAAGTCTACAGAGTGTATGAAGGTTACTCAAAAAAATGAAACAAAATGAAGATCAATTCTAGTTATAATGTTGGCTCCCAGTATTGCCACAATTTCATTTTTTCCCCCTGAATCTGGTGGTTATTCTGTCTCATCCTTATAGAAACACAAAATAAGCATTGTTGAGGAAGTATAAAATTTGTGCTACCTTTTTAACAAGTGGATTCCGGTATTTTAATAGTTCTTCATCTTTACTATGTCTTCTCTTCTTTGAGTATGTTGAAGGTCTGGTCCCATGGCTGAAAAATGGGGATCTTTGTGAGTCTCATTACTTTTCTTTTGATAAATAGCCCCAGCTGAATTTAAAAAGAGGAACTTCAAAGCTTTGAAGCTAGAAAAGGGATGGAGTGCAGGAGACAACAGGTCTTAAGGAGAGCTTTGGAGGCCATCTGTTAGCACTAAGTGGCCTTGATTTTGTTCATCTATGTTTGGTAGGTAGATAATAAGGCTGCATGAGTCAATTTTCAGTCTTATCACAATGCTCAGGCAAGTTGATGTTCTCCTTTCTGCGACTGAACTGGACTAAAGCATGAAGCTGTCTTGGTAGCTGCTGGGAAAACATGACACTCTTCTCCCTTCTTCACTGAGTCAACAATATACTTGGAACTGGTCATTTCTGAGAGAGATGTCAACACAGATGTTGGCATCTGTGTTACATTAAGAATCTCATTTGGCGTTCATGGAATTAAAACAATGAATTTTTCCTCTCTGAGAAAGAATAGGGTTGGAGCATAGTACAGGGATGTTGCGTACCTTAAATCATTTGCATACAGAGTGATAGCAGGGTGACAATGTGTAGGATTGGATCAAATTATCCTATGCCATTGTAGCTTCAACTTTTACTTAATCATTTCAAAACTTAGACTTGATCTTAATAGGCCGCATGATGGAAACAATAGGCTTCCAACTGGGAGAAGTTTTTGGCCCAGTATTGTGATTGTGAATGAAAACCTGTCTCCCCTATTGTAGTTCTATTGTACTAAAATAATATCAGTATTGTTATGCAATGTGAGATTAATTGACCTTTAGGCTAGGGTATGTGTAAGCTTAACAAGTTAAATGCCATTGAAAACAACCATCCCAATCGGAAATTCAAAAGGACCTGTTGTATGCATCTGTAATTTAAAGAAGAAAATAGGAGACGTGGGATGAGATCCAGGACTAAACATCTGAAAGAGAGAGGCTGAAGTAGTCAACTTTAGTTGATTAAAGATATTCTGATCCTGTTTTTCTGTGGTGTCTTGACCTTACTAAAGTTCAGTTAGTATGTAATGGAAAAAACAACCGGTTTGATAGCAAAGTACAGGAAATGCCTTCAATCATGGCTGATTACAGTAGCAGCTTTTCTTCTGTTGCCTTTTTTTTTTTTTTTTTAATGCTCTTTCTATGTGCCTGAAACAATGTAGAATAAAAATGCTTTGGAGCCCTTTATTTGGTGTGTCCAAGTAGAGCAATTAAATGTCTGGCTATTTGATGGATGTGTGTTGGGAGTTTTTGCAGTCAGGAAAGTGTAGTATGACTTAAATGAGCAAAATTCAGAAGTTTTATTGTATGTAAATTTAAATACTAGCAAATTCTGTGTGTGTGTGTGTGCAAGAGAAATTTCTACTAGACAAATGAATGCAGATCTTCTCTTAATCAGCTTTTGTCTGGCCATCTACTACAAAAATTGAAGTTTCAAAACTAATTTGAATGAAAATAAGGTGAATCTCTATCTGGAAAACAGGAAGCTGGGAAGCTGAACATTCGTACACTGAATGTACATAAAGGCTCAGATTCATCTCACCTAACTTTAGGAATGCAAGAGAAGCCTCAAAGTCAGGATCGTGCTTGTCCTAGAGTGCATTTAGCCAGGATAAGCTTCTTTATGGAGCTGTGCAGCCCACATATTCTGTGAATCATCCTCTTGGAGATACCCGTGGAGATGGCTATGGAGGTAGCCTGAGGCAAACTGAGCTACCTCAAATGCTCAGATTTGGTGGGATCAGGTCAGAATGCTGAGAAATAGAGAAAAGAATACTACAAAAACAGAACAAAATGAACAAAATATTTCATAGCTTTAGTTACTTTGATGTTTTACATAAATTACAAAAAAAAAATGGAATTGTGATTGATTACATTACAACCTTTATTGTCATTGCTATTATCTGTGTAAAGCAATATGTCTTCTTTTGAGCTATTAAGAGTTGCAAGGCTTCATTGCTAAGATGATAGCTAGTGAGCACTGCTGTAGGAAACAAGATGCTACATGGATAGACATGCATTTGTGGCCTGAATGTTGTTCTGTTCTGTGTAAGAAAGCTGCAGTTGAAGAAAACAGCAAAGAGAAAAAAGAATGTTAGCCTTTTCTGTTAGCCACAGAAACTATGCCTGAAAACCAAGTACTCTTTTCTTTTCTGCATGTTTGAAGAAATACTTTTTTTCCACTGTCCAGATTTGTCATTATACCTACTGAAGCCACTGAGGAAAAAAACACTGTTCTAGGTTTCCAAAGACAAACTTTTGAGCTGATCTAGGTATGAGAAGTTAATTAGTATGTCTGCAGATAAATTTGCTTCCTAAGGTTATGCTAGCATTTTTTTCAGAATTAAGTTTTCTGGACTTGATCTGACAAGCTTTTCTAGCTTCACGCCATCCTTTCACTGTCTTTCATTGTGGTTTTATCAAATAATGATTTAGTATTGTTTTGTTTAAAAGGATTATAGACATACATAGCAGGCACTCTTAGTTTGCGCTCCACCTAACTTATTGTTATAACAATGCATATGCAATCTTGTTTGTATGTTATCTGAGATATAAAAATAAGAGCATGAAGCATTGAATCTCACACAGTAGAATACCACAGCTTGAGTCAGTCTTTGGCTGAACCTGGGGAGCTTTATTGTCCTCGGCGGGATCACTGAGGTGTCAGCAAGGACAGGTTGTGTCACGTTACATATTTAGCAATGACTCAACACAATAGCTTTTTAGCAGAGACTGACACAGTAAATATTGTCAGTGGGAGTGCAGATTTCATCTTGTCATTCCCAGCTGGAATATCTAGAGCCACTTAGGATTTCTCAGCTAAAATTTTCAAGGAAAAGAAAGGTTAGAAAATGGTGTTTTTAACCAAAGTAGAGGGGGGAAGAAAATTCTCTCACAGCACTGTCAATAGCCACTCACATGTCAGTCAGATGTGCAGTGCAAGACCAGGATGCTCAGCCCTGGGTCAGAGCCAGCCTCGGAGAAGAGGACACCATCCTGAGCACCAGGCCAACAGCTATTTGCACACTGCTTTTATACAAACTTTTGAACACACTGTGTTTTCACTCAACATAAAACACTATTTATTTATTTATTTATTTATTTATTAATCTCAAGCTTTACAGAAGGGAAAGATCACTTGCTATCTGCTATAACTGTTTCTGAGGCAGATTGTCCTATACAGTGCGTCTAATATGAAGCCAGCTCCATTTGTATCAGTTCTTGGTAAAAAGAATTGCAGGCCATGGGAAGGCAGAGTTGCCACTGGGATCCAACACAAAATTTGTCTAAACTAGGCCTTCAGATTCAGGCTAGTTCAATAGGAACAGTTGTAACACTACATCCCATCCCTGCCTTAGTCTCATTGAGGAATTGTCACATTCCCAGGTACGGGTCATGGAAGGACGAGGATTAAAAAGCAGCGTGATGTGAATGTAAAAAGAAACTCTCTCTTGAAAAAGAAATAGAAACCACTCCCCTCTGTGCTTAGCCAATTTGTGAGAATGTTTTACATAATGTATATCTGAACTTCTATGTATTTCACTTATGTTCTCAAATAAAAATGTGGAAATAATAAGAAAGGAAAGACAACACAAAGAAAACCTGTTAAGTATGATATATTTATTTGTCTACACATTATTTCAAGGAAATTCGGCATAATAAGATAAGCAGATCATGCACTGTAATGTCCTAAGTTCCTACCGACAATTGTAATAAAGTTATGGTCAAAGCCATTAAAAGGCCATATATAGAAATTATTTTATAGAAGTTATTTTTATGCTATCAGAAAAGTCACTGCTTTCCTTAAGCTCCTGGAAAGGAATATTAAACCTTTGGTCAATACATCGTTAAGACATCAGTTAATAGTGAGGGCTGCATGATTAAAACAGCCGCCCTTTCCATCTCAGGATCTTGCTTTCCTAAAAGTTCTCTCAATGGTACATTGCTGGAGCTGGCAACTTCATGCAATCCACATTTTTACTTCCTAA